TCTTTAAATTATTGCTCAGATATACACAGCAGAGTTGACAGCCTCAGAATGTATTGCTGGCTAATGCTAATCATCAGAATTTTAATTGAAGTACTATCTGGTGTACGTGAAAAGAAATTACATGCAACTAACACAAGTTGTGTGACCGGCTGCTATATGCAGAGAAGTGCATTGTTGGCACTAGAGTTGCTCATATAAAATGAAGTGGTGTTTGCTTTAAAGTGAAAAACGCATACACAGAGCATTAAGAGAGCTGTTACCATCCAGACAAAACCTAATCTAATACTACTATTAACTCAAAAACAAATATGCTATCCCACATACCTTAAACTTTCTCACTGTTTTGTTGTAGCTACTTGTTTTCTTCCTGAGAATGTTATTAATGCATTTACAATTTTACCTTAACAAATGCTGAGTAAGTCTGCCCTAGCTTTGCTTAGTTGCAGGGCATTATGAGTGTCCAAAGCCAAAGGAAGGTGTATTTGAAGGCTGCTTGTGCCTTGTGCATGTTTTCCTTCCACAATCTGTCAGCACATTTAGCATCTATCAGAGCTAGTAATGACCACATACATTCAAATGCCTAATGAAGTGTTCTCACTGCAAAAAAATAGATATTCACACAAACCTAACGGCAAAGCAATTCATCTTCACTGTCTGGCAGGACGAAGTGCATCTGTGAAGAATTTGGGCTCATTTGCAGTTAACTAAGTGACAAAATGTCCGCCTAGCTAAAAGGGATGCCCCAAAACTCATTTTAAATGAGAAAAATAAACTTTTTTGTTTTGTATCAGACAGCATTCCGCTAGCAAAAGACCTATGAGGTAATACTTACCTATCTGCAGCTTGTATGGGGCAAAGGATTTCACTGTAGAAAGTTATTGAGGATAGTAAAAATTTCTTTATCGCTGAACTTCTCAAACAGATTTTTTTTTTTTTCTTGACTGCTGGATTCAACCTTTTCGGTTAAGTTCTTCACTTAGAAAAACAGTAAAATTAATTAAAACCTAGGATTTAATTCCTCACTATGACAGCTGAAGGCACTTGCAGATCTGCACAGTGCCTTACCCTCCAAGGCAGCGTACATGCGTGGTGTGAAGGAAGGGCAATGCTCTCTGCTTTGAAGTCTGAGGAAGCACACCCAGGGAAGGCAACCTGAAGACATGACATCTCAGAGCAGTGATTTCTTTTGATGCAGTTACCTTGAGGGAAGTTAATGTTTTCTGTAGGATGTGAGGGAAAACAGATGGAATTCTCCCATCAGTCAAGTCCCTGGATAATGGCTCTGTTCTTATTCCACATTAGTCTGTTCAAGTATTTGGAAAACATTCATCTGTCATAGTGTAATGTGAACTATTTAAGTATGCTAGGAAATTTTTCACATAATACTAAAAAACATCCCCAAATCTAACTCTTCTCCTTACTTAATCTCTCTTGCTGTTGATCTTCTGGCCTTCTCTCTCAGATTCCCCATTTTATAGCCTTCTAGCACATACATACCTTCCTGCTGATGATCTAGGAACATCTTCTAAAACACCAAATTGAAATTTGGTGAAAGATAATGCACAAAAGCCAAAATGAATATACATGCATGCTGCACTAAGTAGAAGAAGAAAAATTTAGGACTTAAATTTTTAAATACATGCCAGCATGTCACACTATCTCTGCTGCAGATACGTTACTCACCCTAAGTTGGAAACTATGTCAACAACTCCACGAGTATGAACAGGCTTTTTGCTTCACATTCATATATTATACAGGGATCTGCTGGCTTTACATTTTTATTCATCTAGGAGGAACTTGTCACAAAAAGGATTATATAAAAAAATTAACACCTGTTATTCTTGTATTATAGCACCTGCACTGCTAAAGTGAGAATAATATACAGTTATATATGCAGTTCTTTGCTGCAAATTTCCACCAGTTAAATAAAATATGCAGTTTGGGAAAAAAAAAAAAAAAAAATTATCTGTCTCAAAGGAAATTTTCTCCCACAAAATAATGTGTCTGCTCATGCTCACAGAGTAAAACTACCATTCTGAATTTCCTTCATAAAAAACTGAAACCAAAGCCATCTACTGACTCAATTCCTCTGCCCTTAGCCTAAATAATTGGTACTCTTCTCCTTAGAGATCAGTAAGACAATCAAAATTACAGGTCTGTTCCTTATGATCATCAGAATTCATTAGAGCTAGCAACTGGCAAGGTATACACAGAATATTAGAAACCACACAGTACTTATTTGTACTTTCGTAGTCTTCTTCAATGCATTTGCCAAATATCCTAAAATCTTGTGACAGTTCAGAAATACACCTTCTGTTCTCTTAGCTCCTGTGCTATGTAAACCCTTGTTGCAGAGCCAACAAAGTGCTGTTCCTTGAAACGTTTTAAGATAGTGTGCGTTCTTGTTTTTTATTTCTCCAGAATTACTCCTTACTTTCATATTTGTCATTCAGTGAGAACTCTACATGCCCTCTACCTCTCTTCCCATATCAATGAAATTGGTTTCATCTAATGGTGACACCAGCCATGCATCCCCATGTAAATAAGCCTTGGGATCACTAACACCTTTCTTCTGTTACAGTATAACTAACTGTGTGCACCGTAAGGCTGTCCTGTGAGCAAAAGTTAACTCAAACCTACTTGAATGAACACATTTCTTACAAGTTGCCACAGATTTTTAAAAAATTAAAAGGATGGAACAAAGCCAACTTTATATTCAACAAGCATTGATAAGAAATTACTGTGTACCCAAACCAACTCTTCTCTCCTCATCTTTAACGCTGCTTGTTTCCTCAGTCTGCACACACTGTAGCCATGTCACCCTTGGAAATCATTATTGTAGCTGACAGAGTAGCTGATTGATGTGGCTAAATCATTGTAAGCTTGTTTAAGAGGATTAAAAAAGCTTTATATTGATTTAGCAATATAAGGTACTTTTAATCAGTTTAAAGAGCATCTACATAAGGTGGCTGCATCAATTGCACCGTTCTGTTTAGCAGGTGATCCAATGAGACATGCATCTATTCACCTGGATCACCTGCTAAACAGATCAGTTCGACTGCTACACCTCTGGTGTACAGAATGGCTGCAAGTGCAGCTTCCTCCAGAGAAGAAACAGAGTTATGGTAAGACAAATGCAGTTCTCACACTTTTATGTACATTCCTGTGTGTTTCAGGTTCCAGGTATTCTTCAGGGCAGCTGCACTGGCTGCCAGAATATCACAGCAACATGTGAATGCTGTATGGTTCTTCTAATACTTGGAGGCAGCAGTAGACCGACTGCACAGAATGCAAAGGTGATTGGTGTGAGTAGCACAAATCTGCCACTTCCTGAACTTATCAAGCTCACTGTATAAGATGTATCAAACTTCCTGGGAAGTTCACCTTTTCAGTGTGAGTATTTCTGCAAAAATAAATAAAACTAGAAGTCCTCAAATTCCTTTCAGGCAATATTTCTGATCAGGGAGGTTTTAGGTATATTCCACTCCTACCATAGAACAGAATTTTATGCTTGTAAACATTAATTCAGTGCTGTGAATCGCAAGAGATTTTACCACAAAAATCCCAACTGTCTTGAAGTAAAAGCAAAGCATAGCACATGAAAACAGGAGTTTAAAACTAACCAATGACACACATCTCTACTTGCAGTTTCCTTGTACTATAAGATAACCCACACAAATCTCATTTTCAGACCCTATTTGCTTGTCTGCGTCACTCTGTTCTCTTTCCCAACAACAAAAAACTGCCTGATATCTGGACGACACATTTTTTTCAGTCTGCTTTATTGTTATTATTTTTTTTAAATACTACATTCTCAGCATTGAAAAAAGAAAATGTGTAACATGGTAGGAGTGCAGGAAGTAGTATATTCATAATAGATAATAACTCGGGATTTGTCACTTTCCTCTCTCCAAGAGATTGCCCAGCAACCCACTGTTTCAGCTTCCAGCTTGTTTCCCATCAAATTACTATTAAACCACTCATAAATTATTACGCAGTTGCTTCACATCCTTGCAATGCCAATTTTAACAGTTTCAAAGAGCCTGTAATACTAGCATTCACATTTAGAAAATGCACATGAGTGGCAGTAAAATATGCAGTACGGATTAATAAAATCAGAATCCAGCAAGAGTTCTCTCTCTCTAATATGAAGTGTAAAGACTCAGCAACCTTTCTGGATCTTTGCAATATCCCATTACCATCAGATGCTAGCATGTCTGTCCCTTGGAGTGCATGAAAATGTACTGCGCAGTTAAAAATAACCACACATATTCTTGGCATTTCAACTGTTTTCTCATAAATTAGGCAAGTAAGAAAAATATTTTACACATACATAAGATAAATGTAATACATATATGCAGACAGACAGGCAGACATTTTATATTCAAAAATTTTGCAACTTCTATGTTCTCTAAATTAGCTTCAGTTACAAACACAGAATGGCCTTGTGACTACTTCAGAAAAGGATGAGCACACCTTGAGATAATAGCTAATCACAGTACAGGAACTCCACCATTACTGGGTGAGCTGCTAATTAGTCAAAGAGAAATAAAACTGTCATTCAGGCTAAAAAGATAAGGAAAAACAAGCAATATTTAAAACTTTATGGTGAGGAAAACAGTATTAAGCATGGCTCTCAGTGAAAAGCTCATAGTAAAAAAGAAAAATCTCAGTATTCATTTAGTCCACTCAAGTAAACATAATTTGAGACATGAGCATTTACTTTTCCAAAATGTATCATGAAAATGAATAGCAAGAAGGAAGTGCATATCCACTCCGTAATGCTGCACCAGGACCATTAAAACCACATGAATTATTTTGTCGAAGTGCTTAGGAAGATCAGAGATGGTCTTAAAATAGCCATTTATCTCCAGCTTAGTATGAACAAGGCTACTTTACTCTCTTTAAACCTTAATTAGTGTATTTTAAAAGTAAGTTGTGTTATCAAAGGTAATTAATCACATTTTAGGGGGAGGGGATGGATTGAGATTAAAACTTACATTCTGCTGCTAGGAATGATCTTGTGCCCATCTCTAAACCATGTCACTTGTGGTCTTGGATAGCTGAAGATATGCATGAAGTTTAGAACTGCAGCTTCTCCTTCAGTCACTGTTTTTTTCTGGTTTGTGTCCATGAAATTTCCCATGTCTGCAAAATCAAAAAAATATGTATACTAATAGTTGTAGAAGTTCTCATCCTTCATTTCATTTCAGTAGTCAGAGAATGAAATGTGTTTTACCATAGTTATGGGCGTTGCTGTAATTAGTCAACACAGAGCAACGAATCATGAGACAGCACTGATTGCCACACGTTGGGTGAGCAGTAAGGCATAAGGCCAAGCCAAGTGCTGCAAGGGCACACAAGAAGTCAGCTTTACAGAATGGCCAAAGTGTTCTTTTCAGATAACTGAGTGTGTTTTTACTGAAATAAAAATTTGATCTTTTTCTTTGTTTTCTATTGATGGTGGTGTCCTCTTGTGTTTCTGGTCGTTTGGGGGTTTTTTTGCTTCTTTTCTTTATATTCTTTTTAAAGAATACTTCACTTCTTACTCTTCTAGCACACAAAAGAAAACATTGTGCTATGCAAAGAAATGCAAATGGCATATATAATTTTCTGAATTTCTGCTCACCAAATACTTTTTAACACAATACTTTTCCTTCTATCCATATCGAAACAAACAAGCAGCTGCATTACTTGTAGTCATCAATGTGAAGTTAGATCTACATAAGCAAGCCATTATACATAAATGCATATCAAACTAACAAGACTGTAATAATGTTGGTAGCAATTAGTTCTTCCGGCTATATGCTGTGATTCAAATAGATCTTTGTCATTTACAAAAACATCAGCAGTATTAAACAGGAGCTTTTAGCAGAAATAATAATAATAATAATAATGGAAGAAGGAAAACTACAATTGCAGAACTTCTGTCTCTGAAGGTTTCATTTCATAGGAATCTATGGAGTCCTTGTTAAAAATTTAGCAAACATATTTTTCTTGTTTTCCTTTTGCCTTTTGTGTCTTATTTCTATCCATTAAAATATTATCCATTAAATTATCCATTAAAATGGGAGCTGTAGGCTCCCACTTATTCATCCTCCAAAGAGTTTCTATGCATTTTAATTTGCTTTAAAGTAGGAAACCGATACACACAACTATTCTGGTTTCTGACTCTAAAACTTTCTGGTTTGTTTTTATTTTAGGGACCACTGGGCTCAGGGATGTTCTCCGGGCCAGAGGGATGCGAGTGAGATGGAAACAGAACGCACTACCAGGTCTTTGGATGGAAGGAGATGAGAAGAGAGAACAAAAGAATTAAAAACACGTGGTACTTTAAAGGTTTAACTATTTTTGTATTTTTCAAGTAATTTATTCAGACATTGTACTGCCTCTGTTGCTCCGTATTTCTTACAGCTGTAATCAGATCATCTACATGAAGCTTCAAACCGTGTAGGTGGATCCAATTAACTTCACTGTCATATGGTTATTGCAGTCTTCACAATTCAAGAGTTCTAAGCCCATTCTGTAATTAAGATTTACTCAGCAGTTTTCTTAACAGTATCTGTTCCCATTCAGCTAAATCATACATTAGAACACAACAACATTGTCTAAATTATTTACCAACTTCCCTGCTACATCAGAGGACACGGGCGAAAAAAATACCACAGGTTATAGAATATTTTAATCTATGTAAATGCTGTGCCAATCTGATGGACAAGTTTCACAAGAGAAGCAATATAGGTCACTGTAGAATCAAGACAGATGATCTCCTAGGCCATGTAAGATCTGCTTTGCTTTGTCTCCATGGCACTGCCAGTGAAAATAAATAAATAAATAAGCTGCTTAACTCAGAGAGAGAAATCTTAACAGAGAGCTTTCTGGCCTTGCTCAGGAACGCAGAACTGTAAATTAAAGGAGTGTGGGGTGCGAATTTTAAGAGCAGAAAAGTAAACAATTACACTTTTTCTCTCAAGAAGAACCAAGAACATGGACACCTACCAAACAAAAAAAGTCTGCAGAAATAAAGCACTTTGCTGAAAATCCTTCTGTCATTCAGAAGGGAACAAAGTTATCTTTTCAAGAGACAGAAATCTTCAGCAGCAGCAGCAAGGTAAAGTATTTCTGTGCCACTTTCTCATCATCATTCCCACAAGTGCTTCCTCATGAATTGCTCCTTCTGCTATGGCAGCACAACTGCCTGTGCAGCTGCATACAGAGCCAGATAGTGGGGGAAGGAACAATTTTACCAAACCCCACAAGAATATAAGCACAAAATTCCACGTAACTTCCCTCATGACACACTTAATAGCTTCCATTGGTTCCTTGAAACAGGTTTCTAATAAATAACTCAGTGTAGCTAAATTCCACTTACCAAATGACATTTACTAATACTGATTTTCCATTTACTGATTTGGAGGAATTCAAATTTGATCCCCATGTTAGATTGCTAGCACAAAGGTTTCGTACTTCAAAACATAAAGGCTTAATTTTACTGTTATTTCCAAGCAACTCACTCGGGTAATATCTTCTGTATGTTAAACTTAAACAACATAAATAATTGGAGTATGCAATCATTCTTAAGCCATAGTAATTAGCACTAAATCCTCAGAATAAACTCAGCATTATCAAATGGAAGTTAGATGTGAAATTAGAAGTCAGCTCTGAAAAAATCTCCTCCGTCCAAACTGAAGAGGTACAAACATTGAAACACGTTGAGAACAGACAACGGTTCACAAGCTTTTGGCTCTGAAACAACCAGTTTTGTATCATGAGAATTATGATCTGAAGGCTTCAGGAAGCTGATCTCTTTCAGATATTCCATCCTTCCTTTTAGGAATCCATTTCTTTTTGGATTTTCTTTTTTTTACTATTATTATTATTCTGTGCTATCTGGCCTTTGTTAATCCCTGCATATTTATGGAAGAGCACAATACTCTTCTCTCATCCTAGAGCTATCTCCACATGATCTCCTTCTGATAGCTTTGAATAGCTTGAGTCTTCTCTAAAGACTCACTGTAGCACCACTTTGAGCTTGTTTCCCAAAGTGTATCTTACATTAAGTGTGAAGCTTCTCGTGATGCAATAATTCTGAAATTAATATTATATGCAACACATTTTCAGACTAGCAAATTTTATTGGTACCCACAAAAAGGATCAGTTAGTTAACAATTTGACAGAATAACTTCTATCCAAACCTACATGCCACTTGAACTTCAGATCTCCTCTGCAGCAATGCCCCCATTCTGTTTCGCACAATGCATTGATAAAAGCCAGCATCAGACTTCTGCAAAGCTGGAATGATGTACCTGTAAGAGAAAAATACAGAATTGTAATACGCTTCTTCCCACATGCAGATCAATGCTGCTTTCTGTTACATTTCATGTTATTCCTTTAATATTGTCTCAAAGGCATATTGCATTTTTTCTTAAGAATAGCAAACTTCTTGTCTTAAGAAATACAATTTATAAATACTAATTAGTCTCCACAGTTTCTCTTGAAATGTAGGCTTAAATGCTTTCCTCAGCTTTATCTAACCTCATTCACAAGGCAAAGATGCCTGGTGTTTTATTCTGAGCTGGCACAAGACTGCAATCTAAACATAGGCAGCAGGAAGCCTCACAAGAACTATCAAAGCTCTGCCGTAAAAAGAACTGTTTACTACACTGCATGACCAGCGTAACTCCAAAGAGCACTGAAAAAGACAGTGCACTGCACACTGTATTTGTTCTGCCCTTTGATGTACAAAAGAAGTCACTTATTCCACTACTGCTCACCTTCTGCATTCAGCTACATCTGATCACTCAACATGAAAATGAGCTGATGAGCACGGTTTTAGTGTGAATAAAACACAAGAATAATATAGATAACCCTGCATTAAGCAAACATAAATCAAAGCACATATTTCCCCTGGTCACCTTCTGAAGATATTATGGTGGGATAAATGAAAGCTTTATGAAAAGGAAAAATAATACCACTGAACTTTAATCTTTGAAATTTAATCCCGCTAAAAGAAAGGATCTCTTCCCATACTCACACAAAGCAGACACACCCACACACAGAGCAGCTAATATGTGAACAGGATCAGACAACACAAAAACAAAGGATAGCGAAGAAATCTAATTTAAGTGATAAATGTTGTCTGTAATCACTGCATTATAATCGCAATCAAAGACATTACAGCAAATAGGTCAACCGACCTAAAAGAGTAAATAAAACCAGAGCCCAGTGCCACCAACAAATGGCACCAATCTAATCTGATGCCTAGCAGCCCTGGCTTCCTGAGGATGAGTTACGGGCACTTGTGCTGTCTGCCTGCCTGTGCTGACTCCTCCTGACCTGCTCTGGTGCAACCAGCAAATTTCCTTCAGGGATTATGACAATTTGTACTGGGAAGATAAAACAGACTCACAACCCTGCTCCGTTTGGAAGCAGTAAGCTGGACAAACAGCACACAAACACTTGCTGTTCAGTGAGTAGATACAACCCCGAATCTACCACATTGCCTTGCCTGATGAGTGTGACATAGGAAACAGAAAATAGGTGAAAATAAAGGGTGTAAGATAGAAATCAAGACAACATATGGCTTCCTGATTTCCTTCCAGAATAATTTCCTTCTACAGCAGATGACTGCTGCAAAGCATCACTAGCCAAAAAATATATATTTAAAGATTCTGACAAATAAATATTGATAATTCATTTTAACAGCTAATATTACCACACTTGTTATTGTACTTGGCAAAAATTAATTCTTCTGCTTGTCTACAAAACGGAGCCAAAATTAAAGGCTTATTTCTTTGCTCCTCATCTATACCAAGAAAATAACAGTTACTTCTTCCACTAGGACAAAACAAATCAATTACATCAGAAATCTCCTACATTAGTGTTCTTTTCTAACTTATTAATGTTTCAGCAGAAAACATTCATAATATCTTGCCTGAAGAAAACCTTTTGGCAGAAAAGCTTTTAAAAGTTTGCATGAAAATCCCATCTATCTTGGGAATTCCAGCACAGCCCAAACCTACACAGCCCTTGGCCTCTTAGTGGATCTACCAAATAGCAACGTGCAGGAAAGGCAAACAAATGGCACATCCTGGAACATGGATTTGAAAATGGGATGCGTCAGGGTTTTCTGAGTGACAACGTAATGGGATACGTGCAGATTGTCAAAGAAAGAAAAAGCAAGAGCTTGAAAAACGTTTTGGAAGGATGCTGTGTGAGATGGGAAGCAACAAGGAAGAAAGTAGGAAGACTTCTAAGGAAAGAAGGGACTTTAAAGGAAATTAAACTGATTTGGCTGGTGCGCTGCTCGTGTTTGGGATGAAAGGGAAGAATGCTTAAGAAACAAATATGATGCAGCCCGATCACACAGGACCTTAAAAGAAAAAACACGATCCAAGTCTGACAATGAGCTCCTCAGAGAAGAATAAAAGTTAACTGCTCAGCACTTGGTTGTTGTGCCAACTTCAACTATTCAGCACTCAATCATTACTTGACTGTTCAGAAGAATGTTCTACACAAGTCACTGAAAAGAACACACTTGTTTCTGAAGAGGAAAATCATCTGATCTCTGGTTCTGACAGACATCAGAGGAAAAGCAAATCTAGACTGGGGGAAGGAAATGGATTCAAGTTTTCCAGCTAGCAATTTTAAAAGGCAATCACAGCAGGATGTCACGTTTCCAGAAAAAAGAGTGATATATGCTTTTTGTCTAGGATAAAACTCATGTTCAGTGTTAAAAAACAAACAATAAAATATAATAATCAGATACTTTTAAGCAGTTCACAAGGAAAGCATACTAGTGCTTAGACATAACCTTGGTTTCTAAGATTAAATAAACTAAAATCCTCAGGCAACAAAGGGAAATGCAGACGATGCATTTGGTCCAGAACTTAATTCCACAGAAAACAAACGAATCAAGAAAACCAACCAACCAGTAGGGGAGGAAAAAAAAGAAAAAAAGACAGACACTGAACTTTGAATACTCACTACTTACAAATGCAACCAAAATTGCTACTTTAGTCAGCAATATTGATTTGTTTTCACTACATGCAACTCAGATCACAAAGAATTTATAAGGTTGGTTTATAAATTCTTAATACAAACTGGCGTATGCACAGTCACTATAAAGGCCAGGCTGTGTGCATAATCAGCATCGTTATACGAAGAAAAGCTGTTCATGTGGGGTCACCAGGGGCAAAATGCAAAGGCTCCAATTAGTTCTTTACTCACTTGGTGTGTCATAATAAGCTTGGAATATTTTCAGCAAGGTACAATATACACATTACTTTAAAACACAAGAAGTAATATCAATTACTGGAAATCTTTGATTCATGATTCAACTTGTAGCCAGAGTCACACAAGAAAGATTCATGCATTTAAAAAGAATATTTACCTAGGAGCTGCAGAACAAACTATCATGGGGTCAAAGTTTAACTTCTGCAACCACAATTTTTATGTCTAAGCATATTCTTTCTTTCCTTTAATTCATCCCAATGTACCTATGCCATATAATCCTCCTTGGAAGCTTAAAGTTCTGTACTGCCACAGAATCAAGATCTGGCTGCTCCCTGACTGCAGTAAGGAACTACAGATGAGCAGTAGGATGGGTGCAATGTCTAAATTAATATTTTCTGTCAATGTTAATTTACTATGAACTAGTAGCTTCCTACCGTTTTAATCACCTTTGTGGCAGGTGTTTTATGGTTACAAACGAAAAAGAGAACCATATTCTGATACACCGATTCTAGCTTACACTGCAGTTCACACCAAATTTTGTGTTTTGAATCTCAGTGAGCTTATTAGGGATGTGCACTTATGCAGTAAGAACCGTGGCACTCTGATCTTAGTTTCAAAATGTCATACACTCCTGTTCAGATTTTCTGTTATTTTGTGTAAGTCCCCCAGTACTTGCACACCAACTGAGCTTAAGCTCTAGCCTCTGCTTTTTGTTATCACTGCATAATCACGCAATCTTGCCCCTGTCTAGTTTCTTTCTGTTATTTTCTCAGCGTCTTACATGGGTAGGAGCTGTCATCAGCTGCAAACTGCGATGGACTCAGTTGTTGTTAGTCAAAACAACAGTGGCATTTATCCCAAGCAATGCCTCTTCTGCTTTCAGCATGTTGAGGGACATGGTTTAGTAGGAGCTATTGGGAATAGGTGAACGGTTGGACTGGGTGATCTTTTAGGTCTTTTCCAACCTTGGTGATTCTATGATTCTATGAAACTTTCCCTGATTAGCAGGGCTATTATAGATCTTAATTATGGACTACCATGTATAAACAGCATAGAATACTATAACATTATCCACCTTCTTGTATCAATCTATACTCTAATTTCTTTCTGTAATGGTAGGAGAAGATTTCCCTGCTTCTTGTAATTATATTAAGAACAGAATTGAGCTTGCTCAGCTAAATACGAGTGCGAGTACTAGGGGGTCTGTCTCTCACATCCCTGCACGTTAAAACTTCTGAAATCACCAGGTAATTCAACAAAACTTAAAAGAAGCACAGGAGTTGCAGAAATATTAAATTTCTATAAGGTTATGGAAATCAGTAATTGCATAGGGGAGACCCAGTTAATGTTGCCACGAAGGAAAAGGCAGACAAATCTTGGCTGCTCTACACTTTGATGTTTGGCCAGCCATCTGCTGCCTATCAACAAAAACCTAGCTCTGATTAGCCACAGTGTGCTTTCTCTCTTGCCTAATGGGATGTGTTGAGGGAGTCAACGAGGTTCAGGGAACAAAGTACATAATCACAAAAGAACAGTTTAACTACAAAATTTCCACATTCTCAGAAGTAAAAATGAAAGTTACATATGGAGTTTAAGATAGACCACGTTCTTTTATTTCTACAGCTTAATAAGACAAATGGATCCACTGATATTAGTACCCTTCAAGGATAGGTAGTATATCATACATAACATTTAACCAGTGCCTGTTCTGCTTTCAGCATGCAGGAAAGTACCTAAGGTAGCAGAAAAATACAGATCAAAGTGACCTTAAAAACTTTCTTTCAATCCTCAAAAAAATCCCAATTTTTATTCAGTAACATCTAAACAAATATCAGCAATATGCCTGCTCTTCACTACAAGTATGTATTAAACTTCAAAGCCAGAAAAATCACTGTTGATACTTATAAGATTCTACATTAGAAACTTTGTTTTGGAGTGTTGAACACATTCAACAAAGGCAATTCTCTCAGACATCTCACCCACCTACAAAAAACGATCTTCATAATTTAAAAAAAAAAAAAAAAAAATTGTAAATACACCAGTATTTACAAATGTGATTTCATGTATTGGGTTATTTTTGTTTAAAATTATACTTAGAGAAGACTTTTATTTACTTGTATTCACTGGAGTAGGTGGTTATTTCACTGTCATTGTGTAACCACTTAAATTCCAAGGGCCAGCTGCCTTCAGCAAGGCACGTAAGGACGAGTCGATTTCCTTCCAGGTGGATCTGGGGCAAGCCTGGCTCTGTCTTGAAGTATGGAGCAACATCATCTGAAACAGAAACAAAATAGTTCTGTAAGTTAAGCAAGTGTAGCACCAGACACCAATTCTTTGCTCCTTTTTTCCTCAAAACAAGCAATGTAACAGCTACAACATGACTCAGTAGTTAAGGCATATGCTATTATATTTATAACCAAGCTTGCTAAGGAAATTAATTCCCAAGTATACAAAATCGTGATAACCTCAGACTTTGCACATATTTAGAAGGAAAGTGCATATTCAACCAACATTTTGTCCACATTTAGTACTTACACATACTGTCTATTGTGCTAGACAACAAACAGCTCTATTAGTTTGTTTTGTGCTTTTTTCCCCCATTCTCTGTGAGGTTTAAATCCACTCAAAACTCTTTATTTTTTTAATAGAAAGCACAAGAGTAATCTCGGATAGGAATGATTATCACAGCAGGAGAAGTCTCAGGGTAAATGAAGAACTTGAAGAGGAAAAAAAAGAGTTTAGAACAGAAGATCTCAAAGAATTACACAATAAATGTGTTTTTCAATATTACTGCTAACCAAAATGCATTAAATTATATTACCCCAAACCACTAACAGATTTTGAATTAGGGTACTTCAGTAATGTTCAAGAGTCACATGTAGTCTCAAACTTGTTCTCCTGTGGATCACAAACGTTCAAAATACTTCAAGCAGCATGACTCTCAACTGCTAAATTGCCATACCTCCACTAACAAGCAGATTTATTGCAGTTCTAAACCCGTTGGGACGCACCCCTTAGTCGACTCTGGGAGATCAAGGCTTTCACACTTCACACCTCAAATTTCTACTTGTAACTCTGTCAGAACCATAGACTGTTCATTTAAAAATTTACAAATGCCTTCTGTCATCAAAGGAATGGGTACGTCTGTGCGAGTAAAAATACACAAATGTTATGCTAAAGGCCTGAGATTTGATGTGAAATACAGAATAATATTACAGGCTGGCCTGTAGAGAGGACGTGAGGTCACCTCCTTGGAGATGGTCCCAAGGGTGAATGGATGCAGGCAAGTACCCCAAGCAGGAGCACCCAGTGCTGTGCTCCCAAGTGGGACCCAGAGGTTCCTTCTCAACTCAGGCAGTCAGTGAATACTTTGAAAGTATCATCAATGTTACCGACTTCTGGGAGACTCCCAAGGGAGTTTTGAGACAGACTGCCAGGAGAGATGCCAGTCTACCTTGTGAAAAATACACTGGCAAAGAGGTGCATCTGTATTTAAGGGAAGGGGTTGTACCACGAGTTTCCAAGTCCTACAGCACAGGGTTCCACTGCTGAGTTAAAATAACTAGCACTGAGTTCACTGAAAATAGTTCTATTTACCTGCTCGTATTGAAAGGCTCATGGAATGAGGTCATTCGTTGTTCTTCCCTGAAGAAAGCTGAACCATTTACAGTAAGACCATAACGAAGCTAACTCCATAACTCTGAACCTCTACCCAGGTAACTCGTTGATCCTTTTTTTTTTTTGAGGGGTTTAAAGAACCTAACAAGATAGCACCTTTCATTACTTCACTCTGAGTTACCCAATTACACATCTCAGTTTACATTTCTCCAAGAGCAACTGATTTACTCAAAAGGCAGCCTGCTGCCCACAGTCCTGTCACTCAGCCATACCTCTCTCACTCAAACAATCCCAAGGCTGTGATGCTGCAGCCCACTCACGGCTTTCCCCCATTTAGAATACCACAGTCAAGCTGGTATTACATGAAAACGGTTCTCAAAATTCAATCCAATTCTGTTAGAAGCTAAAATTTAATAGACCTAGGGGAATATTTTGATAAAGAATATGCCATGCTTTATAAATTATCACAGCTCTCTGGAAGATTTACTTAAAGCCTTGGAGTAATTTTATCTTCTAATCTTTTATTCCTGACTTCCTCATCAATCAGATCCCATCAGTTTATCAAATTCAATTATGTAATCAGAGCTCACTAAATATTCACCGAAAGCACAAATGAAAATAAAATAATAGGCAAGGATTCCACGAAGGAAGGCAGCGGTGAAGCTCTAATGATATTGGTATGGCACAGCGCCGCTCACCGCACAGGTAGAAGATCCATATGGCATTCCACAGATGTCACCTACAGGGACAAGTCTGGGTGTTGTAGAGCATCACAGGGAAACTGGAAAATCAGCAGGCATAACGAAAGCTATTTCACAAAGAAAAGTGCAAAAAAGGAGGAGCTGGCTATGGGATAGAGAACAAAGTGCATCTTTTAATAGGCATGGGAGACTTGGACTTTCATATAAAACAGGAAAGTCTCACTTAAGCCTAACTTTGGGCAATCAACAGTTTTCAAGTCGGAAGGCTCTCTTAATTTTTATTCTCTTGAAAAAAAGGAGCAAAAAGATAAAAAATGCATTTGAGTCCTAGGAACAAGAGTAATAAAATAATGGAATTAGGACTTTTAGCTAAGAGAGTTTCATGACTATAAAAATGCAAGCATTCACATTACATGCTGTTGCTTTCCTCTGACTACAATGTGGGTTAACACTTCCAGCCTCTCTGGCTCTTCAGCTCAGCTGTCTTAAAAATAAAAATAAAATGTCTGAGCTGCAAAGAGGAATAAAAGGATAAGATGCGTATCAGTGGGTGCATATATCCAGCTTCTGCAATTTTTCCAGCAGGTCTGCTTACCAAACACTAACCTCCAGACTGGTGCCCTTAAAAAGGATGACATAGATTTATTTTCATGAAAATCTTAAGAAAAAAGCATGACTGAATGTCAAAATTATCTAGATATTTGCTCCAAAACCTGTCTGCCTTGCTTTTATGCATCGTTAAATGGAAAGTTACATTATACTGCCAGGTTAGCCTGTCTGTTTGCTTTCCTTGGCACATGAAAAGCTTAGATGAATTATATCTCAAAATATATTTTCGAGGCCCAATTTGACAATGCACATACACCTCTGGTTGGTTTAATGCTGACAGTTAAACACGCGCAAAAAAATTCCTAGATGCATTTGTTACCAACTTTGGGCTTCTCCCCCAGCAGTTGAGGTTTGTCACAGGAGCTGAGAGGTCTCATTCTGTTCTCCCTGAAAACTAAAAATCCATATTTAATCTTGAACACCTCTACCCCACTGAGAAAAGGGAAGTTGACAGACTCCAGAGAAGTCCCACACCATCCACACCTGTGAAAACCACTGAGGCTGCCCAGTTACATCTTAGCAATTTTCCCTTTGGAAATCCAGACAAAATCACTTGTTCATATCCTGAGAAAATGAGTAACAGTTTCAGAGATGTTCAGAGAAGGATTTTAGCGAGTACAGAGAACAGGTTAGCACATCCTCACAGCCATTACAATTTGTCTTCATTAGATAAATCTGTTCTCAAATCATTTTAGGTGAGACAATATTGAATATTAAAAGTAGATTAACCTGCTCATGAATTAAATCAGAGGAAATACAGCTCAATCACTAATACATTTCATTTTTACCATCAATTCCCATAACTCAGTTTACCCAACAGGCATGATATTGAAAACAAATTTCTGGCTGCAAAACTTTTCGTTGAACTCTAGCAAAAACACGACTTGTTTATTAAAATGCACATCTATAGTGATTCCACCTTTTTGGAGTTTGGTAAAGCATGACTTCCATTGCCCTTTTTCATGCACATATGTAGCACATGACCAGCTGACACAGAAGATAATATCTCTGAGCAATTTTCCAGGAAAATGAGACTACAAGCGCTCCATACAGTGGCAATTACAAATGCATTTGCACTCCCTATTTGCAAGGAAAAGAGATGTGAGCTATCTTAAGTTAGGTTAATAACTGCCACAAGAACAGCTTCTTAGAAGACCTATGTTGTACATTACACAACAGTTAAAAAGGAAACAATCAGGAAGCTCAAACTTGAGACAATCTTTTCAGCAATCTGAGTAAAAAGGTGAAACTATGGGCAGCAGAATCCCATCAAAAAGATTCAAGTTCAGCTGTGGAATTCATAAGCCAATGCTTTGGATTGCACACAGTAATTGAGCGTGAGCTGCTCTGTGCTGATTGACAGCTGATAACTGTAACCTTCTGGGGAATCACAGCCATTTCCTTCTTATTCACGGCTTAGATATGCAAAAGATTTTTCTCTTTTTCTTTTTGAACTGATCCTAATTCCTGACACGTATACATGCATGTACTGGCTCCGGATCCAAGTTGTACGCTTTGATAGAAATAAACTTCAATAGCTTATATAACATATGTATTTGTAAGAACTACATGGTGAATCTTGGGAAACGTAACAGGAAGTCAAACTGAACTCATATATTTCAGTCAATCTTCGTTTTATTTCAAACCTTCTAAAATGCATTCAAGTGGTGTGAAAGTTAGTGTATGATCTATATGTAACTGTCAACGTCAAACACACATGAGAGCACTGAGTCACTTTAACCGTATTGATTTGCAGTAAGGCTATTTTACCCAAAATATTGGTATTTGAGATTCAGATTTTCTTGGTTGGAAGTGTGACATAAATCACTAAATAGAACAATTAAATTAAAATTGCATCATACTACCTAATGCTTAGCCTGGATTTGGGATGCATCACAGTGAATATTTCATTAAAGCACCGGGTTATTTTTCAAGTATACTGCCATGGTTCAGAATTTTTGCACAGTAGTATAAAACATTTCCTTAAAATGGATTTCTTGAACTTTTATCAGAGACAATATCTGATTTCATATCAGAATAATACTGAAGCACATGTACTTAAAACAGCATTTAAATAATCAGTTTCATGAAGTCAACTAAATGAGCCCACGTGGCCCTTTTTTGTTCATGGTAGACAAGGAAGATAATGTACTTGTTGAACACGTCTGCTATCATCTCTAAATGCAAGTAACTGCTGAGGTTGATGGATGATGCTTTTAAAGGTTTAATTGGGGATGGAATTAAATTGTTTCAGGACTCAGCAAGTTCTGTGAGGGAACCTGCATATTTCTAGAATAAGTGACATTTATTTCTTTTAAATGTACAGTCAATGGAAGACAAGATTTC